TATATATATATTTACATTGTATAACATTCCAGATGAATGCAATCGTAGCTTCATTACTTGTTCAGCCACGGCCATTGAGCCGCGATCCCAAGCCATCACATGACCTCTCACCTCCCTGTCTACGAAAGCCAACGGAACCAAAGACCGGAAAGAGGTCATCTTGCCTACATTTACTGAAAGAGGTCGTGGACATGTCGCTGCTTAAAAACTACCTCGTGATCCTCCAGCTGGTCAGCTTCTCCCTCAACAACATGTGCCTGTTCCTTCCCGTCTACCTCCCGGCTCACGCGGAGAAAACGGGAATCTCCCAGACGGACGCCGCCAATCTGATGACGATTGCTGGTCTCTGCGACACTTCCGCTCGAATCGTCTTCGGATTTTTGGGCGATCTAAAATTAGCTCTTCCCAGTCGCGTCATAGTGTTGGCCAGCCTCTACATGGGGGTCGTGTGCCATTTCGTAGCGCTGTTCACCGACTTGGGATCCCTGGTCTTCCTGGCGGTGTCCATGGGTCTGCTGGGGCTTTCGTCCGTGAGCTACAATCCGAATTTGGCGGTGGAGCTCGTGGGCGTGGATCACATGGGGAAGATGCTGGCGTTGTCACAGCTCGTGTCAACTGTTTGGTTCTCTATACAGTACCCTATACATGGTGAGTGAAGTGTAGATGTTTGTTCGTTATACAGTATCAAGTGTCAAACGCTTTAATCACTAAATATATATATAATATATATATATATTTGACTTAGTTTATTAGTCTGTCATTATGTCAATACAAAGTTTTTAGCACTGTTAACTAATTGAAAATTCAGTGTCTCCAAAAAAAAAAAAGTGAGAAATTCGACATACTTTACATTTTTCCATACTTTGGCAAATACTCGATTAACTGAATTCCAAATCTGTGTGATTTAATTTTCTGACCCGAAATCAAGACGTCGGTCTTAAAGCATCATGGCTCAGTATGTAAGATTATTAAGACACACACAATTTGTGTAAATAAAACAATATAGGTTAAGCTTTAATTATTGTTTCACAGAATACAAAGTCAAATTTTTCGTCAAATGCCTTCATCAGAGCAATAAAATTACAATCATATAAGTATATATTAAAATTACATAATAATTACATGTATTGTTTTATTTACACAGCTTGTTTTTTGTCTCATTAATCTACTGAAAAGCTTTATCGTAAAGCTCCAACGCTTTCATATTCAGTATGTAAGATAACTACCAATGCATAGGCTGCTCTTATATTAACAAAAAAACACTTTTCACTTGTACCGAATACAATAGCTATGGATAAACTTGAATGTGAAGCGCTGAAATCTGTTTAATGACACAAATTCTCTGAATCTCTCAAACGCACATTTATGTCTAGATGTTTCTTGTGTACCCACCTGGAGAAAACCCCAGTAAGCTCGCGTTTCTCTTTCGTTATGTTGGCGGTGGTAATGGGCGGTCAGAAAATCGGGGATTAACACTTGAATTACCTTCCCATGAATGATCAGAGGGGGTGTGGGTTGGGGAGGGGGAATTAAATTCAATTTAAAACATCTCATGTTATGATAGTTCAAACTGAACGCCTTGTTTTGCATCAATTCAAAGATATTTTTAAACCTTTCCAAACGCACAGGAGTAATGATTGAAGCTACGGGATCATTTGTCCTGTCCTACCATTACGTGGGGGCCAGCCTCATCCTGGGGTCACTGTGCTTGGCATGCGAGCCACTGGTCAGGCGGTTACAGCGACGAAACGAGATGAGAGCTAAGCAGACGTTTTAGTATCAAAGTTTACGGGTATCATTATGTCATGACACAGATCTGTAATAGATATATCCATCGTAATAAGAGCCAGCCATAGTCGCAACAATTAAAAAAAAAGGCAGATTGTGCTGGACAGGTCATAGTGAAACAATGCCCGATTGAAGAGCAGTGAAAGTGATCTACGGGCAGAAACCTAGGACGAGACGGCTCACCAGTCGTCCAAAACTGAGGTGGATCGATGATGCAGAGAAGGACTTACACAAGCTTGGGTTCGCGCATGGAGGCGGAGAGCCGTGGGTCTATCCGAATGGAAGGATGTGGTAGAGCAGGTCAGGGCCTTACATATGCTTTTTGCGCCACTGATGATGATATATTATGTGTAATATATACAATTCAGAAAATTCAGAAAAGTGTATTTAAAATGTGATAGAAAAGAATTTTTTTTCATTTTTTCATTGAGACTTATATAGATGTATATTTTTTTGGTAGTGTCAGCGTGAGTGAATGAGTAGGCATTGATTTGAATCGTTCGTTGTAATCCATTTATTTGGAATCGAATATTTTAACTTGAAACGTATAATATGCTTTCTATGAATCTGGGTGATAACAGTTTTAAGCAATAACGAAGTGGTAGTAGCGTAGCTAAGGTCAGTGTCAACCCAGGCGGGAAGATAATTTTTCCGCCCCCTTCCACGAAATAACCCCACTGCAGATGGCCGAAAATATCACCTCTCCAAATAAATTATATAAAAGTACCAACTGGGGCGGAGCAACCCCCCCCCCCCTCACACTACCTTTCCTACGCCCTAGCATGAAGTGGACTGATTATCGATGATGAATTTACTCTATTTAGACAATCACTGGCATGACCCACTTTAACCCATGTAGTAAAGTAAGTTAAATATATTAAGTATTTAAATCAAGATAGGAACTTTTATTGAAAAAGAGCGTGGGGAGTACATTATTTAAATAACTTTGATTAGCTTAATTTTAATTTTTGGAGTTGATCTTTATGTGAATGAATTTAAATACCCCTCTTTCTTTCTCTCTGATTCTCTCTCTATCTCTCTATCACGCTCTCGCCCCTCTCTCTCTCTCTCTATCTCTCTCTCTATCTGTCTCTCTCTCTCTATCTCTCTCTCTCGCGCTCTCTCTCTAGCTCTCTCTCTCTCTATATATATATATATATATCTCTCTCTCTCTCTCTCTATCTCTCTCTCTCTCTCTCTCTCTCTCTCTCTCTCTCTCTCTCTCTCGCTCTCTCTCTATCTCTCTCTCTCTCTCTATATATATATATATATCTCGCTCTCTCTCTCTCTCGCTCTCTCTCTAGCTCTCTCTCTCTCTCTCTCTCTCTCTCTCTCTATATCTATCTCTCTCTCTCTCTGTTTCTGATATTTTGCATACAATGAAACGGGATTACTTTTTCATTCTATTGTATTTCATACAAACCCTTTCACTAAACTTCGTTGACCACCCACCCACCCTTTAACGGTTTCTTTTCTTCGAAAGTTCTCTCTCTCTCTCTCTCTCTCTCTCTCTCTCTCTCTCTCTCTCTCTCTCTCTCTCTCTCTATATATATATATATATATCTCTCTCTCTCTCTCTCTCTCTCTCTCTCTCTCTCTCTCTCTCTCTCTCTCTCTCTCTCTCTCTATATCTATCTCTCTCTCTCTCTCTGTTTCTGATATTTTGCATACAATGAAACGGGATTACTTTTTCATTCTATTGTATTTCATACAAACCCTTTCACTAAACTTCGTTGACCACCCACCCACCCTTTGACACTGCAGTTTCCATTGTACCGACATGTGCTGACACGGTGTTAGAATTATGGTACCGCCCGTACTTATTGAACCAACAACCACGAAGCCATCGCCGAGAATCGTGCTTAGAATACATCGCTCAAATTAATGTTCTTGTTATTAGTTATGGTGGGCAGCAGTATTTTAAACGGGTGTTAATAATTTTGATATAAAATGATATGTATGATAGAGCGAAAAATAAAACATTACAAAAAGAAGGAAAAGGGGACTAGATTATTTCTAAAGTTTTCCTGTTAGTTCAATAAAGATTCATAATAAAGATTTACTTCATGGCGGATTGCAGTTTGTTTTATTTAATTTAGTAAGTATTTCAGTTTTTTAACTGGTGTTGGTTTTTCACATGCGAAGACAACGAAGGCTTTGACTTGAGTAGTAGCCTTGGCTCGAGTAGTAGCCTTGGCTCGAGTAGTAGCCTTGGCTCGAGTAGTAGCCTTGACTCGAGTAGTAGCCTCGGCTTGAGTAGTAGCCTTGACTCGAGTAGTAGCCTTGACTCGAGTAGTAGCCTTGACTCGAGTAGTAGCCTTGGCATAAGTTGCGCTATTCGTCAGCCCCACTCTCTTGTCCTTGCCTAATTTGTTCCCATGGCAAGACTTAGTCAAGACGACTGGAAATGGCCCAGGATGCTGTGGGTGACCAGCAGTGTCTCTAGTTGTCGGTTATCGTGTCAATGTAAAAGAGCCGGGAACAACTAGGCATTCCTTGTTTAAAAAAAAAAAAAAATTTCGAAGAAATAAAAATTGGGAAAAAATATAAAAAAATAAAAATTTAATGTTTTAAAGTTAGGAAACACGTGAGGTAAGACCAGCAAGCTAACTTGATTAGTTTTTAAATTGTTGTAAATTTAGGCACGGCTTTTTTACAATTTGCGTATAAAGCGTGGTTTGCATAAACGCACGAGGTAACTGTTCATGCCCCTCGTTTATCTGGTATCTCTAAATTATCGGAATTGATTTGAAATTTTTAAAAAAAAAAATAATAACCTAACTTTCTAAAGTTTCACTAAGCCTATAGAATAAATAGGAAACAAGATGGGAGCGCTACTCGGTGTTAAGTGAGCATCATGTGGTCAAGTAACATCGCCAGTTTGATGTTGAAACGAGTCAGGACGTCCACCACGGGGGGGGGGGGAACAGGATCAAAGGTGGGACAAGGGGGGGGAAGGGCGTGCCCTCTTGTGGAGAATTGGTCAAGTAACATCGCCAGTTTGATGTTGAAACGAGTCAGGACGTCCACCACGGGGGGGGGGGGAACAAGATCAAATGTGGGACAAGGGGGGTGAAGGTCGTGACCTCTTGTGGAGAAATTGTTGTACTCTAAACGGAGCGGAGTCGAGTTGATTTGACCTCCTGGTGTCTTGACCCCCTGAAGGAAAGCAACGCATCAACACGCGGGATTGACGAGTCCAGCCTTGTGAGGCACGCCAAGGTCTTGGAGGAGAGCTGTGGAAGTCATGCACAAAGACACCAGTGGCGGCGCGCCTGTTGACAGAGGCGGCGCGCCTATTGACAGAGGCTGGGCGTGGATGGTCGTTTTAGGTAAATTTTACTTTTCTCTGTAACTGTTTTTTTTTTTTTTCTAAAAATTTATTGATTCAAACCTTTTAAAAATTCCTAAATACGAAACAATTTTTATCTATATCTATATTATTTTTTTTAAAGATCATTTTCATAAAAGGTCGTAAAGAAACTGGTATAGCGATATGTAGAATTTACGTTTCTGACATTGCTCTTGAAATAAGGGCAACAGAGTGGGATGTGGGGCTGGATGTAGCGTTGGATATAGGGTGGGATGTATTATTAAAGCAGTTCAGAGAGGTTTGAAATTTATAAATGCGAAATCTACCTAACGACTACACTGAAGTTATACAGTACACAGGAGTTTCACGAAATGATCAATTAATATTTTAAGCATCACCATTTTCTTCCAGGTACTTTCCTCATCTACCTGATACACCCCAGCTACTTCTACTTCACGTCCGTTCTGTTTCTCGACTTCATCGAAGTATTTGACACGACAGCCACAGTGGTGAACTTGATCTTAGCCATGACAAACGTGTCTTACTGCATCTCAAGTAAGTGAGGTAACACCTTGGTCATGACAAACGTGTCTTACTGCATCTCAAGTAAGTGAGGTAACATCTTGCCCATGACCAACGTGTCTTACTGCATCTCAAATAAGTGAGGTAACATCTGTCATTGGCATGACGCTAGCCATCTTTTGTTAAAACCTTATTATAGTCATGCTTCTATTTAATTCTTTGATCAAACTATTCATCACCCGACTATCCAGTTATCCATCTAATCATTTGCCAATCAATCCAAACATCTATCCATACGTCAATCCATCCATCCGTCCATTCGTCAATCCATCCATATATTTATCCATTCGTCAATCCATCCATCTATCTTTTCATACGTCAATTCATCCATTCTTCCATTCGCCAATCCATCCATCCATCCATCTATCCATTCGTCAGTCCATCCATCCATCTTTCCATTCGTCGATGCATCCAACCATCTACCCATTCGTCGATCCATCCATCCATCTATCCATTTGTCAATCCATCCAACCATCCATCTATCCATTCATCAATCCATCCAACAATCTACCCATTCGTCGATCCATCCATCCATCTATCCATTTGCCAATCCATCCATACATCCATCCATTCATCAAGCCATCCACCCATATATTCGATCATTCATCCGTCCAACCATTACTGCATCCTCTTACCCAAACGTGAACTCATTGATCTGTAAAAAAATGTTAAGTATTTGCTTGACACCCATTGAAAAACGTATCGACCCCCACCCTCCTCCCCGTTACCTCGACTCCATGGCATCGTATTTATCGACCTCCTCCACAGCCCTTGTGCTGGTCAACGTCGTGATGCCCGTCATATCCGTGAGGAAGCTGACCACCATCTCCTGCATTGTCTACTCTGTGGCCAACTGGGCCGTCGTCGTCGCACCGACTCTGCCTGTTTTCTTCGTCGTCTGCGTCATAAAATGTAGGTGGTACCATAAGTCCTTTGTGATTGTATGTTAAGAGATTCGGTAACGAAAACAGAATAATGATTTAACTGTAATGTTATGACTAAGAAATTTTTTTTAAAAAATGCCTTGAACGCTACAGCACAAACCATTTTCTATCCTTGGAAGGGCAATATGTCGACTGTTTGGCAAAACTTGAACTGTGTTAGCATTTAAAAATAAGATTAAATATTTATTTTTATATTTAGGTCGTTTGACTTTGGAAAAATTCATAAGTTGGAGTCCCACCTGTTTGCACATATTTTTTTTTTTAAGATGACAATAAGAAACTTTGAAACCGGGAAAGGGTGGGGGGTGGGAATGGGGGAACGCAAAAAAAAAGGGGGTGGGGTGTGGTATGCAAAATAACAAAAATGATTTCAGCCCTTTTATACTAATATACATATATTTTTAAACATTAATAATCCGAACTCATCCGAAAAAAAAAACTTGCTGTCGGGTGACAGTGTTTATAGATAACCTTACCATAAGTTTTAAGATTTAGAAGCAGGGAACCGAATAGTAAATAATAGGATCAGTCAATCACTCTTTAAAGCAGTACTCACGCCCTGAATGAAGTTTTAGTCTGCTTGCAACCCCATCCAGTGATATCGGGCCCTTCAGAAAAGCGCTGGCCTTTTATAAATTTATCGCCTTTCCCCCCTCTCCCCCCCCCCCCCCCCCCAAGCTGGACCTGCTTCATATCAACTTCCTTGGGATCCATTTTCCCTTTCCGGAATGGGGCGACCTTGATAGTTACCAATAATAGAGTTGGCTTGGGCGGGGGGTGATTTTTCTACTAGTTGTCATTTACTCATTCCATGATCCATAAAAGTAACATAACGTTTTCTAGACACCGCACAGGGGGGAGTCCTGGTACCGCCCCTGACCCTTGTTGGTCACTACTTCGAACGGAGGAGGGCCCTGGCCACATCACTGTCTCTCCTGGGTATCAGCGTGGCCTCCATCGCGGTCCCGCCTCTGACCAGATACATACGAAACGAATACGGCTTCAGGGGCTCTTTTCTTTTACTGTCTGCGTATGAGGTAATGTGTCATGTCTGCATGAGGTAATGTGTCATGTCATCACATGAGGTAATGTGTCATGTCTGCATATGAGGTAGTATGTCATGTCTGCATATGAGGTAATATGTCATGTCTGCTAAAGAGGTAGTATGTCATGTCTGCATATGAGGTAATATGTCATGTCTGCATATGAGGTAGTATGTCATGTCTGATAATGAGGTAATATGTCATGTCTGCTAAAGAGGTAGTATGTCATGTCTGCATATGAGGTAATATGTCATGTCTGCATATGAGGTAGTATGTCATGTCTGATAATGAGGTAATATGTCATGTCTGCTAAAGAGGTAATATGTCATGTCTGCACATGAGGTAATATGTCATGTCTGCTAATGAGGTAATATTTCATGTTTGCATATGAGGTAATATGTTATGTCTGCATATGAGGTAATATGTCATGTCTGCACATGAGGTAATATGTCATTCTGCACATGAGGTAGTATGTCATGTCTGCTAATGAGGTAGTATGTCATGTCTGCTAATGAGGTAATATGTCATATCTGCATATGAGTTAATATGTCATGTCTGCACATGAGGTACTACATATGTCTGTATATGAGGTAATATTCCATGTCTGCAATTGAGGTACTATATCATGTCTGCATAGGTGGTTACATGTCATGTCTGCATTTGAAGTGTTATATGTCAGCATACGGTTTAAAGATTTTCAGTTCAATAAATACACCAATTTTTCGTGATGCATTTCAAAAGCAGTTTAATTATGTCTATAACGGAGGCCACCATTTTTTACACAGCCCATGCGATTAAATCTAAAAACGTATCTGTTCCTCGGCAGTCGGTTGTCATTTAAGATTAATGACAAACTTACGTAACGTTGAGTTTTTTAACAGTAGAGGGTAGGGACTGTTTAATAAGTCTTCATTATTTTATTTATTGGCAGCATATAACAATTTAACTTAAACGTATAGATTATTTACAAAGGAATTTTAAACAAAAATATATAAATATGTTTAATAATTTAAAATTTTTTGAAATTGAGTTATTAGACGCAGCTCTGTTTTTGCACAAAACAAAGCGATGCCCTCGAAAATGTAAAAAGAAATGCTCCCAACTAATAAAAGCCGATGACCGGGAAACTATAGCTTGAGGTTTTTAAAATTTCTTGAACAGGAAAAAAAATAATTGTAATACATTTTTCACCAGATGCAGGCGATCATAGCCGCCATGTTGCTACGTCCACTCTCGTGCTACTCACAGAAACCAGAGCCAACCAACGCCCAACAATGCACGGCAAGAGAACAAGTCGAATTCGGGTCTGATGAGGATGAGCAGAAGACCATGCTTCTGGAATCCATAAGTCAAAATACTCAACTATCATACAGGCCGGGAGAATTACTTCAACCAGAGGAAAGCGCAGACGAGGCGAAAAGTTATGATCACGAGTTCCAAATGAAAGATTCTGAGAAATTCGAAGCCAGAGCTTTGGTTAAAGAGTATGCAACGTCAGACGTGACGTATCTGTCTGATGGAGTAGAACATAATAATGACGTAATTTATATCGCCAATGGCCATTCTTCTGACATTAAGAAGCCATTGGACGAAGACATATCCCACAGACATACAGACAATTCAAAAACTAATAAATACAAACTAATTACACTTGCAGTCGCTGATGAGAACATTAATGAGACTAGGATTTTAAAAAGCAATTGTGGTGTGGGGAGTACAGTAGGAGACTTAAAGGAATTAAAATTAATTGAAATAAATCTAGCTAGTAAGTGTCATTCTAGGATGGATCACGCAGAGTATCATCCAGGAACAAGGACAGACTCTCGTAACGAAGCTCAAGTTCTCGGAATGACTGAGAGCAGTAAACTGAAGACAGACCAGACGAAGACTTCTTCTGTACCCTTCTGTGGCCTCGATGCTTCTTTGTATCAGGAAAAAACCTTAAACCGCAATGGCGAAACAAATTTTCAGTCGAAATTGTTCGCTGATGTACGAGCTGACCTGGGTGCTCTAGTCAAATCGAAAGAAGATGCCAAAATCGGCTGTGATGAAATCACGACCGATGAGTCATTTTTCGCAAAAGGTCTGAAGGTGATACGATCGGCTTTGGATTTTTCGTTGCTGAGGAACTATCTGGCAATCTTGTACTTATTCACATTTGGTCTGCATCACTCCTCCGTCTTCCTGGCCACCTACGTGCCATCGTACGCCGTCAAAGTCGGGGTGTCGCAGCAGAACGCCGCCATCCTGCTGACCATCGTCGGAACATGCGACGGGGCGTCTCGCGTGGCCTACGGGTTTTTCGCCGACCTCCGTCTTGTGAGACCCAGCCGGGTCCTGGCCGGCCTGTACATGTTCCTGGGTCTCGTCTGCCAGTTCACGTCGCAGTTCACCACCCTGGGGGGTCTCGTCTTCCTAGCCGTGTCGTACGGCTGCTGTGGGTTGTCCCACCTGAGCCTCAACGCCCCGCTCATCGTCGACTTTCTGGGCGTGGAGCACCTCGGCAAGGTCTTTGCCCTCGGGGCGTTGACGTCGTCAGTGTTTATCTCAGTACAGTTCCCCGTGCATGGTGAGTGAATAGGTGATACACACCAGTGAGTGAATAGGTGATACACACCAGTGAGTGAATAGGTGATACACACCAGTGAGTGAATAGGTGATACACACCAGTGAGTGAATAGGTGATACACACCAGTGAGTGAATAGGTAATACACACCAGTGAGTGAATAGGTGATACACACCAGTGAGTGAATAGGTGATACACACCAGTGAGTGAATAGGTGATACACACCAGTGAGTGAATATGTTATAGACATCAGTGAGTGAATATGTTATACAAATCAATGGGGGAAAACAACTTTAAAGAAAAAGCTTCTGTTGCATGTATTTATATCCTCTTATAAAGTGTTAATTCCCAAAAATTCTCCATCTCTTTGAATGCTTTCTTTAATTCGTTGCTGAGTACATAAATGCTGGTGTCGAGTTCGGGGCCAAAAAAATGCTGAAAAAGCACCCAAGATCCCACCTCCAAAAATAAACATAGCGCATAAAAAGTATCCGTTCCCATGCGTTCCTGCAGGACTCGACCCATGTTATTTATGTATACTGTAAAACGCAGATTGTTCCACAAAAACTGACCGCATCCTAAAAAAGTCTGGCTGCCTATAAACAGACTCCTTCATTATCACTATTCAGCCCGTGATAGGGACGGGATTCTTGTTATTTTTTTACATAGATGTTCTTGTTTACATAGATGTTCTTGTTTACATAGATGTTCTTGTTTACATAGATGTTCTTGTTTACATAGATGTTCTGGTTTACATAGATGTTCTTGTTTACATAGATGGTCTTGTTTACATAGATGTTCTTGAAACTTCAGCACTTTTTGTTATCACCTGCGCATTTTGCTCTTTTGTTTCCAAAATAATTTTGGCTTCAAAATCGGCAAAGCGGCCACGGGTGAAATGGGCTGGGGGCGAAATAACCAGAGGGTGAAAGGGCCTGATGGCGAAATGACACAGGGGAGGGGGGGGGGAATGCGCAATTATGAATTCTCAAAGATCGTCCTGATTTAAACCCACTACTAATCACGTCTCAAAACAAAGAAGTCCAACCACGGCAAACAATCAAACCCACTGTAGTCATATCACGTGATAAATGGTATAAAATGACGGTACCTAACTGGGGTTGGTATATTTTTTTTTCATTCTGACCTCTTACAAATACAACGAATAATTAATAAAAATTCAATTCATATTTCGGGAAAACCCGCATATTTTTGGAATGATATTTCAACCCGATGACTACTTGCCATAATTTGTCCGTTGAATATCTTGGGAATACCTCTAAAGATTTGATGATTAAAAAAAAAAAATAAAAATAAATATTAAGATGATTTTTTTTCTTTCTTTCAAAGATGAATAAATGTAGCATTTTATGAATCCCCCAGGTGTGCTGATTGAGGCCACGGACAGCTTTGTCGCATCTTTCCACTGGATCGGTGCTACGTTCATTCTGAGCTCCCTGTGTTTGCTGTCAGAGCCAGTGGTCAGACGGCTGGAGACTAAGAGGGCGAAGTAAGGGAAGCTCAACGGTGTGCTAGCTCTATGGAAACGTCGACAGGTGGTATGAACTGACTGGCAAGGTGTGGAGCAACGGAAACGGTGTGGAGCCACTAGACAAGGTGTGACCCACTAGACAAGGTGTGACCCACTAGACAAGGTGTGACCCACTGGACAAGGTGTGACCCACTGGACAAGACGTGACCCGCTAGACAAGGTGTGACCCACTAGACAAGGTGTGACCCACTAGACAAGACGTGACCCACTAGACAAGGTGTGACCCACTAGACAAGGTGTGACCCACTAGACAAGGTGTGACCCACTAGACAAGGTGTGACCCACTAGACAAGGTGTGACCCACTAGACAAGGTGTGACCCACTAGACAAGGTGTGACCCACTAGACAAGGTGTGACCCACTGGACAAGACGTGACCCGCTAGACAAGGTGTGACCCACTAGACAAGGTGTGACCCACTAGAAAAGGTGTGGCCCCATTGGACAAGATGTGGCCTGAACCACTTGAATTGGTGTTAAACATTTGCTTTGCATTTGCCTTGGTGTGAACCACTAGCCATGATGTGACCCATTAACCATGATGTGACCCACTGGTCATGATGTGACCCACTGGCCATGATGTGACCCACTAGACATGGCGTGACCCACTAATCATGATGTGACCCACTAGCCATGGTGTGACCCACTTACCATGATTTAACCCACTTACCATGATGTGACCCACTTACCATGGTGTGACCCACTAGCCATGATGTGATTCACTAACCATGATGTGACCCACCAACCATGATGTGACCCCCTGGCCATGATGTGACCCACTAGCCTTGGTGTGACCCACTAGTCATGATGTGACCCACTTACCATGATGTGACCCACTGTTTGTGTTGTAACCCCTTGATCTATTTGTGGTGACAAGGTACCCCTGGAGCGTCAGCACCCACACACCAGGTCTCTGATAGGATGCATTATTGTTTCAAAACTACCAGAAACCTTTCGACTTCTGGTAGATTCTACCACATGTATTGAAGACATAAAGAACAAAACATTTGACCGTCAGTCAGTGTTGTACTTGTCCGTTAACGTAGCAATTACATAATCTCGGTGAATACACAGTTCACTTTCGAAACCATCTATTAGTAGTACGAGTTAACACATTTTAAATGGAAATTTGACAATGTGTGTGCCATCAGTGTTTTTAAACAGTGATAATAAAAAATGAACAGTCGTAATCAGCTGTATGGAACGTTAAACAACTACAAAAAAAAAGTGTAAATCAAGATAAATTGAAACGACTTAATAAAGTTCTACGATACAAGGATTTAAGTACACTACTTCCATTCCTTCAGGAAACTAATATCAAAGTTTATTACAAAGATTACATCAAGGGGAAATTTATATTACATCCGACCTTAATTTGAATTACAAAATGTAAGAGGAACACACACACACAAATATACCTACTATTTACGCTTATAATTTTATTCACTAACGACCGTTAAAATGAGAGGGCGAGACAACCACACGTAGCTAATTGTTAAAGTTATGTTAGTTGACAGTAAATGGTAGACATCAAGCAAAAGAGTAACACGCATCTAAAAAACAAATTTAGCTGAAATGTTAGTAGCGCAGAAGGCAGCAAGAGGCATGTACAACCCGCCAAAAAATTGACGGACCTTCCGATAAATTATAATTTAAGATTTAAATTTTACAAAATTTAACCCAGAGGTCAAGGTTCAGGGCCAAAAAATAAAATAAAAATAAATATGACGCAATGATTGACAGACTTCTTTAAAAAAAAAAACATCCATCAAATAACACTGCGAATTAGCAGACGTCTGTTCAGGAACCAATACCAGACAAGAAAGCCAACCCCCCCCCCCCCCCCCCCCCCCCCTAAAAAAAAAACACCCATCAAATAACCCTGTGAATTAGCAGACGTCTGTTCCGGAACCAATACCAGACAAGAAAGCCAACCCCTCCCCCCCCCCCAACCCCCTACACTGATCTCTAAACCCCGCACATTAAATAATGGCATAACATGCGCCACCCCCACACCTCCTTTTTTATAAATCTTGGTGCTTTCTTTTAATCCAAGGTTTATAATATCAAAAAATCGGGCATTTCCAATCGACTAGGAACTTTCCTATTCTGTCTAGTGTGTTCTAATTCATATCCAGTCCTGTCACTTACACATAGAATAGCTTCATAGTTCGGTGTGTGTGTGTGAATGTCAATTAAGGACCTTAATTGCTTTTGCTGGTAATTATTGGCTCGTACACAGAAGGTTCCCTTAATTCAGTCTCTTCCTGTCCAAGTAGTTTGAGTGTCCGTCCAGAGATTTTTCGTAAGTATTTCATTAATATTATATTACATTTTTATAACATGTAATTTGTGAAGTAAACATTTCCGATGTGACATATTTCATGGTTCCATCTAACTGTGTGTAGTTAACATCAATGAAATAAACTTAACAGTTTGTTTGTTTTTAAAATAAAATTTAAAAAAAAAAATCTTTAACATAATAAAGAAATAGTTATTTTTTTTTAGTTATCTTTGTGTTATTGAAACATTAATTTGGGAAGTATTTTACACCCACCCTCCTCCCATATCTATGTTACCCTGAACACATAATACAAAAGTCACCTTAAACCTACCCCTCATAATGTATGTTTTACCTGTATCACCCTTTAACCCCCTCCTCCCCCCGCATATGCCGTATTAAACAATCCTAATAGGCATATAACCCCGAAAGAACATTTCTTCTCTTTTTACGAAACAAACCCTAACATCCATTATCCAATCTATATCACCTGTATCACCTGTATCACCTGTATCACCTGTATCACCTGTATCACCTGTATCACCTGTATCACCTGTATCACCACCTGTATCACCTGTACCACCTGTATCACCTGTATCCCCTGTATCCCCTGTATCACCTGTATCCCCTGTATCACCTGTATCACCTGTATCACCTGTATCCCCTGTATCACCTGTATCACCTGTATCCGCTGTATCCCCTGTATCACCTGTATCACCTGTATCACCTGTATCACCTGTATCCCCTGTATCACCTGTATCACCTGTATCCCCTGTATCCCCTGTATCACCTGTATCACATGTATCACCTGTATCCCCTGTATCACCTGTATCCCCTGTATCACCTGTATCACCTGTATCACCTGTATCACCTGTATCACCTGTATCACCTGTATCACCTGTATCCCCTGTATCCCCTGTATCACCTGTATCACATGTATCACCCGTATTACCTGTATCACCTGTATCACCTGTATCCCCTGTATCACCTGTATCCCCTGTATCACCTGTATCACCTGTATCCCCTGTATCACCTGTATCCCCTGTATCACCTGTATCCCCTGTATCACCTGTATCACCTGTATCCCCTGTATCACCTGTATCACCTGTATCACCTGTATCACCCTTCCTATTTTATGTCACCTGAAACACACTTACTCTCTATGTTACCTTAAACACACCTTCTGGTCTGTGTCTCTTTAGACAACCCCCTCCCCCACCCAAATCAAACACACACACACACACTCACACACACACACAGCTGACATGCACTTGCATGAAGGCAGTAATAGTTGACTGAACGGAGTCTTAATGACCTCGCCAGGTGACACAACAGTTGCAGGCCGCTCAATAACTGTTGTGAGAGGGTTAAAGTTGGGAACTTAGAGATACGTGATAAGATATGGATTAATGACGTCTGCTTGTCAAAACGTGTAGCTGTGTACAGTGATGTGTACTGTGGTGTGTACGCCCGCGTGTATAGTGGTATGTAAAGAGGTGTGTACAGTAGTGTGTATATTAGTGTGTGTAGCCTTGTGCGCAGAGGGACAGCGGGGAGTAGTACTTTTAAAAAGTCACGGAAAATATCAACGTTTCTTACACTGATTCCTTTAATTAAATGTCTAAGAAAGTGTCCACTTGGATTATGTGGTCTGTGTCTCACCACGCCAATGATTCCCCGGTAAGCTTAGCCTCACCACGCCAATGATTTCCCGGTAATCATAGCCACGCCACACCACTTATTTCCAAGTAATCTTAACCCCACCACGCCAATGATTCCCAAGTAATCTTAGCCTCACCACGCCAATGATTCCCAAGTAATCTTAGCCCCACCACACCACTGATTCCCAAGTAATCTTAACCCCACCACGCCAATGATTCCCAAGTAATCTTAGCCCCACCACGCCACTGATTCCCAAGATATCTTAACCCCACCACGCCAATGATTTCCAAGTAATCTTAGCCCCACCACACCACTGATTCCCAAGTAATCTTAACCCCACCACGCCAATGATTCCCAAGTAATCTTAGCCCCACCACACCACTGATTCCCAAGTAATCTTAACCCCACCACGCCAATGATTCCCAAGTAATCTTAGCCCCACCACGTCAATGATACCCCAGTAATTTTAGCCTCACCACGTCAATGATCCACATGTTGTTTAATTTTTTTTTTTTAAAATACAATTTTATTTTTTAAACCTGTATTTCAAAGCCTTTTTTAAATCCACCTGCCCAGGTCTCACACAGCTAACATTACATGAACAGCTTAACTTTGTCACACATTTGATGGTTTGTCAAATTACACGTTCGTACGAAATTTGTTGTTATTAAATATTTGTAAAAAAAAACAAAAACAAAAACTAAGAATGGGTAATGATGAAGATTGTTTTAAATGGCCCTCTCTATTTTGAATCTCAAATCTTTTTTTAGTTAGTTTAAAAAAAAAAAAAAAAAAAAATTAAATCAGAGTACATCTAAATTTATTTTTGACTAAATATTTTAAAAAAAAAAAAAAAAAAAAAACTAAGAATGGGTAATGATTAAGATTGTTTTAAATGGCCCTCTTTATTTTTAATTTCAAATCTTTTTTTAGTTAGTTTAAAAAAAAAAAAAAAAAAAAATTAAATCAGAGTACATCTAAATTTATTTTTGACATGCCAACCAGAGTTGCTGATACACGTTCGGACCTGCCGTGTGTCATCGGACCTTTACGGGGAAAAAATGTCCCCAGCATAAACCAATGGCGACCGCTCTAAAAAGTAAGACTACCGAGGCGCAGAATTACGGGAAACTCCGAAGTGATTGCCTGAGAAAGAAAGAGCTATTTACAGATCCCAAGTTTCCAAACAACGGGGCGTCGCTCTACTACAGCCGCTCTGCCCCTGCGGACATCATTTGGAAGCGACCCAAGGTAGACCTTTGTCAATCTTAATATTATTGAAAGAAAACTATCAAATGTATGGGTAAATCGTTTCTCACCCCATCCATACAAGTGACCCACATCCATACAAATGACGCACATCCATACAAATGACGCACATCCATACAAATGACGCACATCCATACAAATGACGCACATCCATACAAATGACGCACATCCATACAAATGACTCAGGTCCACAAAAATTACCCACGACCATAAAAATGACCCACTGTCATAAACATGACGCACATCCATATAAATGACTCGCGTCTATAAAAATGACCCACTGCCATAAAAATGACCAACTGTCATAAAAATGAGCCACTGTAATAAAAATGATCCACTGTCATAAAAGCGACCCACTGTCATAAAAATGACCCACTGTCATAAAAATGACTAACTGCCATAAAAATGACCAACTGTCATAAAAATGAGCCACTGTAATAAAAATGATCCACTGTCATAAAAGCGACCCACTGTCATAAAAATGACCCACTGTCATAAAAATGACTAACTGTCATAAAAATGACTCACTGTCACAAAAATGAGCCACTGTAATAAAAATGATCCACTGTCATAAAAGCGACCCACTGCCATAAAAATGACCCACTGTCATAAAAATGACCCAGTATCATAAACATGACCAGACTTTTCTCTTCCCCCCCACCCACCCCCCCCCACCCCACCCCCCTCCCAGGACATCGTTGAGGACCCGAAGTTCTTCGTCGACACAAAAATTATTGTCCCCCCCACCCACCCCCACCCCACTCCACCCCCCTCCCAGGACATCGTTGAGGACCCGAAGTTCTTCGTCGACACAAAAATTATTGGTGAATTTTCTCAAGGCGAGCTGGGCAACTGTAGCTTTGTTGCCGCCTGCGTATGTTTGGTCAAGAATAAATCATTATGGTGTAAGGTAAGGGGACTTGACAGTTATAAAATACGATTCATAATTTTTTAATTATTTTTTTAAATTAACAATTTTAATTCCTTTTGTTACAGTGATATTTTTAGTCCAAAATGTAAGAACACTGAATTTTTCCCACCCACGTTTTCAGCGAGTTAGGGAAAGATCCTGAGATGTTATATCAACGGGACGTTCATGATAATGAGATGTTATATCCACGGGATGTTCATGATAATGAGATGTTATATCCACGGGATTTTCATGATAATGAGATGTTATATCAACGGGATGTTCATGATAATGACATGTTATATCCACGGGATGTTCATGATAATGAGATGTTATATCAACGGGACGTTCATGATAATGAGATGTTATATCCACGGGATGTTCATGATAATGAGATGTTATATCCATGGGATGTTCATGATAATGAGATGTTATATCAACGGGACGTTCATGATAATGAGATGTTATATCAACGGGACGTTCATAATAATAAGATGTTATATCAACGGGACGTTCATGATAATGAGATGTTATATCAACGGGACGTTCATGATAACTGACATGGTATTTGTTTGATTTATAAAACCAATTTTTCCCCATTGGTATAAATCTAGACTTAGCTAATCTCACTGCCACTCACTCCGATTAGTTTGAGTTTGGATCAATAACTTTGAGTTAGAAAACTTTATTTCTCTCAGTGGTATAAAGCTAGACTTAAAAAATCTCACTGCCACTCCCTGAGATTAGTTTGAGAATTAATCAATATTTTTGATTGAGAAAACTTTGATTTTTTCTCAATAGTATAAAGGTAGACTTAAACAATCTCACTGTCACTCACTGAGATTAGTTTGAGAATGGATCTCGAAGCGTGGGTATTGATGACAAACTTAAATTAGATTTAGGAAGCATTTATAGAGAAGTCAGTGGTTAAATTATATGTATTTGCATCAAACTGAAGTACGCATGCGTGACAGTAGAAACATACACTCTTGGTGTATAAAGCAGTGTTCAATGTAATATTCTTGACATGCAGGTTGTTCCTGATCACAGGTCCCAAGTTTTCTCTCCGTCATCAAAATATGCAGGTGTGTAGCTCACTTGTTTCATTGTTATGGTGTACACTCTTAGAAAAAATGAATTGTGAAGTTAATTTTCTTTTTTTTTTTTAGCGATATGTATTTTTATTTATGTATTGACTGTTACGTCCTTTCGTAATCAGTTTATATGAACCACTAACACCAGGCATTTCTACATACAATTATGTATTGATTACATGGGATAATCAAATGGGATAATCAAATTCACCTTTAAATAAGTTTCATTACATTAAGATACTTCTATGCAGAGGCGTAGCGAGGGTGTTTGGTATCCGGGGACAAGATCCATATTAAAGCGCCCCTTTTTCTTTTTTTCAACTCGCAAACCCATTATTTTCATCAATAAAATAATATCAAAGCACATTTTGGCGCCCTTAACTAGCTGGCGCCCGGGGACATCTGTCCCCCTCCCCACCCCCTAGCTACGCCTCTGTTTCTATGTTGAGCAGAAATCTATATGCTTTAAACATATTTTATTATGTCCTAAAAAACAAGTCCATGTCTAGAAATGCAACATGTGTCTTCCGCTAGGCATCTTCCATTTTAAATTCTGGAGTTGTGGGTCCTGGGTGGATGTTGTGATTGATGATTATCTCCCCACGAAAGACGGTCGACTCATTTACACGCATTCCAACTCAAGAAACGAGTTTTGGCCGGCCTTGTTAGAGAAAGCTTACGCCAAGTGAGTGATGCTTTAAGTAGTTATTTATTTAAATTATCTTACGTCAATTGAACGGTTCATTACAGAGTTATTGATTCAAATTACCTTACGCCAAGTTAGTGGTTCCATCATAGTCATAGATTCAAATTAGCTTACGTCAAGCGAGTGGTTATATCATTGTTATTGATGCGAATTAACAGACGAATTGTTCCTTCAAATCTTCGCTTCAAACTAGGAAATGAGTTGTTCACTCACATTCTTGAAATAAAACTAACGTATGGTTAAAGTTTTCCATGTTGTAAGTTACGTGGAAATGTTCCAAGCATTAAATTCTATTACATTTCCATGCGTATATTTAATACCTGAGATCAGCTCTTGTCATTTTATGTTTCTTTCGGGTGAAAATTTGTTTATAAAACACACAATTCTTAGTTAAATTAATTATTCTGCAGATGCTGAAGGCATAATTTAGACATCTGTGATTGTGTTTTTGATGTGTCTTAGTCCTTTAGGATTCCATGCGTGACCATGCTACTTTAATTTTTATATTTAATTATGTAATTTCTTAATGCTCAATACACGATTAGACATAGATCATGGGCATTTTTAAACTTAATATCGACGATATCGTTAATTCTGTAAACTCATCTACGGCAGCTGTTCAAGTTGATCGTGACAACTAATCTATGACCGCTTTTCAAGTTAATCGTGACAACTAATCTATTGCAGCTGTTCAAGTTAATCGTGACAACTAATCTATTGCAGCTGTTCAAGTTGATCGTGACAACTAATCTATTGCAGCTGTTCAAGTTGATCGTGACAACTAATCTGTTGCATCTGTTCAAGTTGATCGTGACAACTAATCTGTTGCAGCTGTTCAAGTTGATCGTGACAACTAATCTATTGCAGCTGTTCAAGTTGATCGTGACAACTAATCTATTGCAGCTGTTCAAGTTGATCGTGACAACTAATCTATTGCAGCTGTTCAAGTTGATCGTGACAACTAATCTGTGGCCGCTGTTCAAGTTGATCGTGACAACTAATCTATTGCAGCTGTTCAAGTTGATCGTGACAACTAATCTGTGGCCGCTGTTCAAGTTGATCGTGACAACTAATCTGTGGCCGCTGTTCAAGTTGATCGTGACAACTAATCTGTGGCCGCTGTTCAAGTTGATCGTGACAACTAATCTGTGGCCGCTGTCAAAGTTAATTGAAACAACGAACGATCCCATTGCACGCTTGGGTGATTAACAAAGAAAACTTCAAATTCGAAACCTCCGGTTGCCAGTTTCAAGCCAATCAAAGTCCTGGGAACTTTAAGACAGTTTAACTTTTTTAATGTCTAGATACAATTTTACACAATAATTATATTACCAGTTCTAGCATTTATTGACGTCATAATTTCAATCTATTAAAATATTCCCCCAAAACCAGGTTGTTTGGAAGCTACGAGGCTCTGACGTCTGGCAAGGCCAGGAATGCCATGGTTGATTTGACCGGAGGGATAGGCGAAGACATAAAGATGGAAGATTTCAAAACCATGGCGGAAAAGGATCGACTCTACAGGAGGCTGCTGGACGCCAAGGCGAACGGTGCTCTCATTTGTGCCAGTATCAAAGTAAGTAATCTGTTATAGACACGGACCATGGGGAGTTCAATTAAGTACACAGTTGTAAACAAAGAACATTGGGAAGTTAGTGTCAAGAGCAGAGACCGAACGAAAGGGATTTTCTGATTGCGGCCAAAGCCGAAAATAGGCCGAAAGTTTAAAATGACTTTCAGCCAAAACCGAAAATAGGCCGAAAGTTTAAAAATGACTTTCGGCTGAAACCGAAAATGAAATATTTAGAAATTTTGAAATTCGTTCCCCCATACATTCTGTATACATCGAAAATGATTGGGGAAAGTATAAATATTTACATACTTTTTATAAAAAATGAGATAATCGTGAATATTAATAAATAAACATCTAATATAGGGGTCTCAAACTCGCGACCCGCGAGCCATTTGTGACCCGCAAGACGATATTTTGCGGCCCGCTACATGAAAAAAAGTTTAGTGTAAATGCGCCAGCGCGTTTTCCCCATTTTCGTATCTCTAGCCTGACTCTCCGCGACGGTTTCAGTTGAATCTCAGCGACTCGTCTAATTCTGATTTTTAAAAAATGTTTCTGTATATGTTTGTATTATGATTATAGTGGTAAGAACCGTTTTAAAATCGGAATAAAAGTTTTTATTTAATAGCTTTTTATGAGACAAACATGTCACAGAGTGCGGCTTTGAGAAAAGTTTTTAAAAGTAAGTTGGCGGGTAATGCACAACCATAATTGTGTAAATCGTAGCAATCTGATACATTATCAAAGGATCCCTATTAAAATTGCCGCTAGTGTTTACGAGTGAGGGAAATTCCAATCATGTCACCTTGGTCACTTTAAAAATCTTCTTCTTATGCCTTTTTACCCAGCCTGGGTCTCTACATTTTTTAGACTTAAAACACAGACATTTCAGCTGTGTGCTGACCCTTTCTCTTTTAATGTACAAGATGCCCGCCTGGGGAGCTAAATGAAAAAAATAGACAAGCATGGAAATTTTATTGCATTGCCCTCCACCTTCCCTGAAATTTTTAGGTTGTTCAAGCGGATCATACGACTTTTTGAGAGAACCTATCTGTATGAATAGCTCTTTTCTAGTATGCACTTTAACAAGTCAAAGTTCAGGGCCAATCTTACTGATGAGGATCTTCAAGCTATACTGAGAGTCTTGGTTGCTTCCTCACTGAAGCCAAAGTTGCTCAGCTGTGTAAAAAAAACGCTGCCAGGTCCCTGACAACAGTGAGTAGGTGGAAGAAAGTGAAGCCTAGTTCTTGAGAACACTTAATGTTTTTATTGTTGTTTATAAAGGTTGAGTAGATTGTAACAGTTGTAATCGCTTTTTTGTGGAATACTTTATGCGGCCCAGTCTCACTCAGACCCTACCTCCTGCGGCCCTCCTGATGATTTGAGTTTGAGACCTTTATCTAATGAATACTTTGTGTTTTCATTAATATCTTGCAAGATATCAATATATTAATATTCAACCTAGCAACAACATACTAGTCTTTCCGTGCTGGTGATGTAATTATTTTGTTTGGAGACTAACCTCCCTCACCCCCAGTGGCGGTGAAAATTATTTTTTTAAACCGGGTCTCTTAAAATTGTTGTTCTGATCATAGTTCTAAAAGATCGCTTAATTTGTTCTTAAAAGTCGCTTTATTTTTTTTTAAAGATCGTCTAGATGGTTGTTAATGATCGGTAAGTTTGTTCTTAAAGATCGATGAGTTTACTCAAAACGATCGTTTAGTTTGTTCTAAAAAAATCCCTTAGTTTAATCTTAATGATCGCTTAGTTTGTTCTTAAAGATCACTTAAGTTGTTGTTAAAGATCGTTCAGTTTTTTGTTAATGATCGCTTTATTTGTTCTTAAATATCGGTTAGTTTGTTCATAAAGATCGCTTAGTTTGTTGTTAAAGATCGTTAGTTTGTTCTTAAAGATTGCTTAGCTGGTTGTTAAAGATCGTTCAGTTTTTTTTTGTCAATGATCGCGTTATTTTTTCTTAAAGATCGGTTAGTTTGTTTTTAAAGATCGCTTATTTTGTTGTTGAAGATCACTTACTTTTTTCATAAAAATCGCTTAGTTTGTTCTTAAAGATACTTATTTTGTTTCTTTAGATCGATTAGTTTGCTCTTAAAGATCGTTTAGTTTATTCTCATAAATCATTTAGTTTACTATAGAGATCATTTGTTTTGTTCTTAAAGATATTTAGTTCGTTCTTAAAAATCGTTTAGTTTGTTCTTTAAGATCGTTTAGTTTGTTCTTTAAGATCGTTTAGTTTGTTCTTGAAGATCGCCTAGTTTGTTTTAAATATCGTTTAGTTTGTTCTCAAATATCGTTTAGCTAGTTCTCAAAGATCGCTTAATTGGTTCTCAAAGATCGCTTAGTTTGTTGTTAAATATCGCTTTCGCTGAGTATTAGATGACCGAAAACCTCAGTCACTTTCGGCCGGATTGCCGAAAGTCTAAGTCAATTTTGGCCGAAACCGAAAGTTACATTTTCTATTTCGGCTGAACTGAAATTAAGCCGAAAGTTAACTTTTCAGTTTCGGCCGAAACCAAAACTTGTCCGAAAGTGATAAAATGGCAACTTTCGGCGCCGAAACCGAAGCCTAAATTCGGTCGGTCTCTTGTCAAGAGTAAAGAGTAGACAAGGCACATTGGGAGTTAAAGGAACCTCTCAATAGTAGGCAAGGCACATTGGGAGCTAATTGAAGTTTTCAATAATAGGCAAGGCACATTGGGAGCTAAAGGACGTTCTCAATAGTAGACAAGGCACATTGGGAGCTAAAGGACGTTCTCAATAGTAGGCAAGGCACATTGGGAGTTAAAGTAAGCACTCAACAGTAGACAAGGAACATTGGGTTTATGCGAGGAATGTGGTTAATTGCTCTTATTGCATTTTTTTTAAAACCTCTGTTGTATATTGTGCGGATCATTCAATGACACATGTATATATGTACACTACCAGTCAATTTCACTTAAATCCCAAATGTACACTAGTCAAGGGCCATTAGTTTTCTCAGGGATCCCAAATGAAGAGCCCTCTCTTTCTCTTGGAACCTACTGAAGATCCCCATTAGCCTCATCTGGAATCGTGTGCAGCCCTACACATTTTCTCACACAATTTCAACATCATTTTCCTTTTCATTTTACATCGGCAAATGAGCTCTGGAAATATTAACGCCATAGAAAGTGATTTCTTACATTGATAGCCCACAGTGACTGCTTACATTGACTGACAACAGTGATTGCTTACATTGAATGACTACAGTGATTGCTTACATTGACTGACAACAGTTATTGCTCACTTTGACAGACAACATGGATTGCTTACATTAATTGACAATGACGAACTTGAAAATAAAAAAAATATCAATCCTCCTCATCCTCATGTCCCTTAGTCCTTGGCCGTTGGGGCGCGACAGATTACATGTGAACCATCCTCCTCCATTCCTCTCTGACTTCAGCACTACGCACTGCATCACCCAGGGTTAGTCCTGTCCACTCTTTGATGTTATCCTCCCACCTTCTTCTTTGTCTTCCTCTTCTTCTCCCTCCTCTCGTTGTGCCCTGCAATATTTCTTTGGCAAGCCCTTGTTCCCTTGTTACGTGGCCGTACCATTGTAGTTTGCGTTTTTTCACAGTCACCAGTAGGTCATCGTACTCCCCAATAGCCTGACGAACCCTTTCTTTCACTGTATCATTGGAGATATGGTCCCTATAGCAGATGTCCAAAATGCAGGACTCGCAGGCATACAGGAAAATGGAAAGGGCTAATAAGCGCATCAGCCTGATTTTGGTGCTGGGGCTATATTTTTGTCGTTCCATATTTTCTTGAGCCTCATTAGTGCTGTTGTAGTTTGTGCAATCCTGAACATCAGTTCGGGCTTGGAGCCTTCTTCTAAGACTACTGCTCTTAGGTATTTGAAGCGGCCGACAGTTTCTAATCTTTCCTCCTCGGCCTAAATTTCAGTAGTGATGCCTTCGGTATTATTTGTCATCAGTTTTGTCTTCTCGGCACTGATTAGCATGCCGTAGGACGACGGGGTCTTATCGAGAGGTTTTACCAGGTCAGCTAGCTCGTCTTCTTTCCCAGCCAGCACGTCTAATGTCGTCCGCAAAGCGTAGGTTGGTGATTGTTCTGCCACCAATGCTGACTGTCCCTTCATGCGCTTCCAGAGCATCTGACATAATTCTCTCTAGGAAGATGTTGAATAGGGTGGGGGAGAGCAGGCTGCCTTGTCGTACTCCAACCGTGGTCTGGAACCATTCTCCGATGTTGTTGTTGAGGAATACTGCACTGGTGGTTGCATAAAATATCAATAGTTGACCTATTAAAAATTCTCTGTCCACGTTCAGTTATTTGACATGTTATGATGTTACACACAGGCCAACAATGCGTCAGAGAGGGAGGCCAAACTCAGCGTCGGCCTCATCCGTGGACACGCCTACAGCTTGACACAGGTCAAGAGGATCCATCTGAAGGGGTCGAGGTCCCTTTGGAATAAAAAAAATGACAAGATTGCCATGGTCCGGTTGAGGAACCCTTGGGGTCGGGATGATTGGAAAGGAGCCTGGTGTGATGGGTATGATGTGTTTATCTTTAGAGCTAAAGATTGTTCTTTTTCACAAGAATGGCATATCTTATCCAAGAAATAAATATATTTGTCCAAAATTAATTTTATTTTCTTTGAATAATAATTGCTACTTTGGATAAGAAACAATTCTTTGGTTTATTTTTTTAAGAACATTTTAGAAATTCCTTGTGGAAAATTTCTTTAAAAAGATTTTTTTTATTTTAATTTCTTTTTAAATAGCTTAAAAAATTAAAAAGAAAAAGAAATAAAACTATAACTGAATAAAGCAATATTTTATTCTCATACAATAATCTGACCAATGAGATGTCATATACCATTATGCATCTCAGATTAAAAATTGTCTAAGATACATATTTTACTTATTTTTTTTTAAAAATGTACTTGTAATAATGTTTTTCTCTCTGCAGGTCCCCTGATTGGGATAAGGTCAACGCGTCCGATCTGAAGAGCATGACCTTGAAGAAAAACTATGATGGAAAGTTTTGGTAAGTGTTCATTAGGAAACTGTCCACAAAACAATATCGTGCATGCCAACCTGGGCGTAACTTGCTCTTTTTACTGCCGTATATCTTAGATTCTATTTAAATGTTTTCGTCAATGACGGAGCGTTCAAAAATAAAATAATAAAAACATTTTACTTGTCCGTGAACACGGCAACTATTTTTCAGTTCGGGGCGGTTCCAAAATTATGTTTTTGTGTTCTAAACTCGATTCCATTGAGTTGAGCAGTGCTAGTTAAAACAGAAACAATAATATATATATATATATATATATATATATATATATATATATAAATATATTTATATTTATATGCATCTCAAATTAAATAATTTATTTCCTTTAAATTAGCGGTATTGTTATCAAATTATATATATATATATATATATATATATATATATATATATAAATATATTTATATTTATATGCATCTCAAATTAAATAATTTATTTCCTTTCAATTAGCGGTATTGTTATCAAATCCTTGTTTGCTTATTTGCTCATTTTCCTCCGAAGATATTTTTTTTTTTTTTGTAGGTCGTAGCTCGAAATGTTTTTAAATATTCCATGAATGGAATTAGAATGAACACGGAAATAAAACGGCGTAAATGATTTATTTAATTACACGGATATGAAGAAGAGCGCAAATGACGTCGTGGATTAGGACGACACCATTGACACTGATAGTACCCAAACGTTGCTAAAAACTTACAAAAGGCTGTGAACATTGCGAGAAACATGACATACAATAATACAATGATACACAAATTGCAAAGTTTGGCTCTAAAAATCAAAATTAAAATGTTTTTTTTTTTGTTTTTTTTTTTCCTTGGGGGGTCCAACAGGATGTGTTTTGATGAGTTCTGTCAATACTTCACTGACGTTGACATCTGTCACGTGCTGAACATGAACTTCTTCACGTTGAGGAAACCGTGGAAAGAACGGGTTGTCACCGGAAGCTGGTCTAAGAGTTTGAAGAGGGCAGGGGGCTGTGGGAACAACAATACGTTTTTGGAGAATCCTCAGGTCGGTGCCGTTAGAGCAGTGGTTCTCAACGTTCCTAATGATGTGACCTTTTAATACAGTTCCTCATGTTTTGCTGACCCCCCCCCCAACCATAAAACTATTCTCGTGGCTACTTCATAAATATGTGTTTTCCGATGTTCTTAGGCAACTCCTGCGTAAGGGTCGTTCGACACCAAAAGGAGTCACAACCCACCGGTTGAGAACCTTTGTGTTAGAGCATAAAGATTAGTGGGTCAAAAATGTTTTTGCTTTCTTTTCAAATTTGAGATAAACAAGGAAATTTTAAAGTAAAATAAAGTAAATAATTTTTTGTTAAATATTATTTTTTTTTATATTTGATGTTGTAATATTATTTTTACTGCGTGGCTAGAAAGATATAAGGCAATCGTAAATTGAGATTTAAAAACATTGAAATGATTTTATCAGCTAGTTTAAAAATAGTATTGGTTGTTTTTTATCTTGTCACAAAGGTTTTGTCCACAAATTCGTGAGATGAATGAATTATTAAAACAAAAATTGAAATATTTTGACACGCCAACTTTCTGTATTAATTAAGATCCAAAAAAAAAGGTGGTGGTGGTGGGGGATATTATTTCTGCAAAGAATGGCAGAAATTTTTTTGCATCATTTAATTTTAAAGACCAAACGAAAATATCTAAATATGAAAACTAGATGATGCAGATGAGCACGATTAATGATTGTATATGCATGAAAGCAATTAGGTGTCGTGGGGCGAAATAGGGCGAAATATACAATTCCCGAATTTTACAGAAATAATCTTCATTTAAATATCCAGATGCCGAGTTCTTTACAATGTCACTAACGTTAATCAGGTAATCAGGTGGCGCTGATTTCATTAAAATAGCATTTCCTACAACTGAGCTCATTGAGATTCTTACACCAACCATAAGTGCAGGTGGTGCGTAGTATTTTCTTTTATTTTACGAAAAATAGTTGGTGTAAAAAAGGGGGTCGGTGCATTATAATATTAATGAAGTTCATGTGCGATGACGTACCTGGTTGGGGGGGGGGGGCTAGCTCTAATTGGGAATCTTTTAAAGTGCGTTACTTGAATGAATGTTTTGTCAAGTAACTTTAGTAGTTGGACTTATGACGTATCTCGGCCGCCATTTTTTTCTCTTCGTGCCATTACTAGTCAATGTAATGTGTAGCCGATCCACACTGTAGCCGATCCACACTGTAGCCGATCCACACTGTATACTGACGACGACGTAAAAAAGCTGCAGCCGTGTGGCGGCGTGGCTTACACAGTTTAAATACAACACAATCACTGAAACAGGTCTAAGGTCTAAGAACTATAGCTTTATTCTTAGGTACAATCCGTGGATAGTAAAATCTCTCACACAAACCTGTCAAATGTACTCACTCAGTATCAGACACGGCTGAGTACTCGTACACAGCTCAGAAAGTCACACACCGGGTTTAAATCCCCCCCCCCTTATATCGTCACGATAGCGTCCACGTCATGAGCTGTTTCCCCCCAGTCCCCATGTGGGACAGGTCTCCCGTGGGACAGAGGTATGCCACGCTCAGTGACTGTGTACATGGAAAAGAAAAACCCCATAGGTGGCACCGGACAAAACGTAGGTGGCACCCATCTACATACAAAGAAATGATACATAAAACAAAATGTGGCACATTGCCACATATGAAAACCCCATCGCTCAACATTATGAAGCCAACAGAACCTCAAATAGTTGTTCATATTTCTCTCAAGGGTGTTGTTGATTAAAAAGTTAGAGATAGGGTCGTAGATATCATGTTTATATCGTAGATATCGCTTACACAGGGTTAAACAGAAAGCTGGTTATAATTTCATGTTCATCGCAGTTTGTTGTTGAGATTCACAAAGACGAGCAGGAACTGACGATCTCCCTCGAGCAAGAGGACAGGAGGTCACGGCGAGAAGAGAGTCACTCCATCGGTGTATCGGTGCATCAGGTAAGCTATACGCTTCGGTTTTATCAGGTAAACCATATTCTTTGGTATTATGAGGTAATCTATATGCGGTTGTATTATCAGGTAAACTATATTCTTTGGTATTATCAGGTAATCTATATTCTTTGGTATTATCAGGTAATCTATATTATTTGGTATTATCAGGTAATCTATATTCTTTGGTATTATCAGGTAATCTATATTCTTTGGTATTATTAGGTAAACCATATTCTTTGGCATTATCAGGTAATCTATATTCTTTGGCATTATCAGGTAATCTATATTCTTTGGCATTATCAGGTAATCTATATTCTTTGGCATTATCAGGTAATCTATATTCTTTGGCATTATCAGGTAATCTATATTCTTTGGCATTATCAGGTAATCTATATTCTTTGGTATTATCAGGTAATCTATAATGCTTAGGTTTTCTCTTCATTATACAGTTTCTGAAAGTCTGCGTCGTCAAAAAGGTGTGGATGATTTCAACACTATCTTGATAACTGTTGCAGTCGACACGAATACTTAAGATTAAGTCTTTTGAAATAATTCCTAAGAAGCAGACGCGCCGCCTACGTCGATATTTAATCTCTAGGTGCGTCAAGTTTGCAAAATAAATTAAAACACAACACTCTGTTCACATGCAATGAGAAAAGCTATTCATCACTATTTTTTTCGCACCGCGCACAGGAAAGACCTTCATTTTTGTGCGCCAATAAAAAACTTACATTAAACTTTCATACCCGACCTGGCCGCAGCGCAAAGTCTTCATTTCTTTTATGGGTAAAGTTCATATAAGAAAAAAACAACAACAACACGAGCGCGGATCTCTAGATCCAAGCATTTCTCATCATGGCCCGAGATTGCTTTCCTTCCACCTGACATAATCCCAGTAACACATCTTTCCAAAAAAACATTGCACAAAATCTTCATATCTACGACATTTCACAACTTACGCTAAATCCAATTACTATAATAAGGATTTCAGTCACGTTTACTAGAGCTACTGATAGCACATTAGATATTGATGCTAAGTAAGAAATTTAATGATGCAATTCCCCTTTTATTTTTAGTATCCTATTTTCAAAATAAACACTAAGCAAGAATGATTTAATGATGTAGTAAGAGTTTGAAAATTTTAATTTTCATAAAATCATAAAGAAAGGATAGCAAACAATTAAAGGGCAATGCGCTTTAGTGAATGTGATTAGATTCATCTTTGAAACATGAGATGTAATATATTACTGTGGTAGTAATGGATAACCATTGGCGGACCAAGGATGGTGGGAAAGGGGTGACTGCCCCGGGGGGGGGGACTTTTTTCAGGAATATATAAAACATTAAATACATTTCGTGTTTTGGGGGCACACTTTTGGGGGCTCGTCCCGGACCTCCTTTATTTAAAGTACGCCACTGGTTGAAAAAAAAAGCTAGGGCTTCGCTAATAGATTATAGTTCACTGCAGATAGATCTCCATAGAAAGTTCAGGATGCACGACAGAATGGACGACGTACACGTGACCCCATTCAACAAGTCCCGCAGCACATTCAACCGTGTTCTACTCAAACAAGGCAGCTACTGTCTTTTACCTTCGACCTTTGACCCCGGATATGAGGGAAAATACCTACTGCGAATCTACAGCAAAGACGACTTTACTTTGAGGTGAGCATAAACATTATTCAGAACTATGCAGCGATTAGTTCGCGAAAATTCTTGTCCCGACCCATGAACACTTAAAATTGGTTCGGTTAAGTACATAGAGTTATAATCTGTTGGCGAAATGCGCACCGTGACCAGAAGAAAAAAAAATGCCACAAACTGCAAGTAACTAACATAAAAAATTGTTATGCAAACGTTATTTAAAATTTCTTGTATGTTTATTAAAAGCAGTGTTATCTGCGCCCCTAAATCTTGAAAACTTGATCTCTGTCAGCCACGCTCAGAGTTGAATTGCTGCTGAATCTTGATCTCTGTCAGCCACGCTCAGAGTTGAATTGCTGCTGAATCTTGATCTCTGTCAGCCACGCTCAGAGTTTATTTGCTGCTGAATCTTGATCTTGTTCAAGTTGACACCAATATTAACCCGTTCCAATAACACCGGTAACACCATCATTAACCCCTTACAAAAACACCAGTAACACCAATATTAACCCCTTAAAACTACCACCACTAACAACCCAACGGTTTCCAATAAAACAAGTAACACCAATATTAACCCCATCCAGAAACACCAGTAACACCAATATTAACCCCATCCAGAAACACCAGTAACACCAATATTAACCCCATCCAGAAACACCAGTAACACCAATATTAACCCCTTAAAACTACCACCACTAATAACCCAACCGGTTTCCAATAACACCGGTAACACCATTATTAACCCCTTCCAAAAACACCAGTAACACAATATTAACCCATTAAAACTACCACCACTAATAACCCAACCGGTTTCCAATAACACCGGTAACACCATTATTAACCCCTTCCAAAACACCAGTAACACCAATATTAACCCCTTAAAACTACCACCACTAACAACCGGTTCCAAAAGCACCAATAACAACCCAACCGGTTCCAATAGCACCAATAACAATGCAACCGGTTCCAATAACACCAATAACAACCCAACCGGTTGCAATAACATCAATAACAAACCAACCGGTTCCAATAACACCAATAACAGCCTAACCTCTTGCAATAACGAAAAATCACACACATTTCTGCACTTCTACCTGTAAAATGGCCGGACGACCAAGGATTACATTTTTAGGCCGTAATAATTATTACAACTGACTTATCAGGCCATCATGTCATTTATGAGCTCAACAAAAGGTTAAAACCAATTTTTAACAGCTAGCGTGTGTCGGATTTTTATAAACGAGGCTGAACGGATACGGTTTTGTGCTAGTAAATATAACCATTTGGAACGGAACGTTTCTTAAAATCACCATTCACCTTGTATTATGTTTCAGTGAGTTCTTCGTCTTAAACCACAGTAGAATGGTTTTAATTATTTTTATTTTTTTAAAAGCTGTATTACTGTTATCTGGTGTTTACTGTTATCTGGCATTTACTGTTATCTGGTGTTTACTGTTATCTGGTGTTTACTGTTATCTGGTTTTTGTAGACAATGTTGCCAGTCTGAGGAGTTGTTTCATTTTCTTCAGAGAACTGACCAAAGATGGGCCGAGCCCTCCGAGATTTTTCAGAAAACCTAAACTAGCGGCAACTGCTGTGACCGTCCGCAAGTTGGAGGATCTGACCATCCCAGGTGCTGGCGAAGGTAAGTTTATGCTGACCATTTCAGATGTTGGCAAGGGTACGTTTTATATTGGCTGTTCCAGGTGTTGTCAGTTGTAGGTTTATTTTAATACGTCATCAAGGTGGAAGATCCATGAGATGGTGCATGAGATGGTGCATGAGATGGTGCATGAGATGGTGCATGAGATGGTGCATGAGATGGTGCATGAGATGGTGCATGAGATGGTGCATGAGATGGTGCATGAGATGGTGCATGAGATGGTGCATGAGATGGGGCATGAGATGATGCATGAGATGGGGCATGAGATGGTGCATGAGATGGTGCATGAGATGGTGCATGAGATGGTGCATGGATTTTTTTCAAACTCTCCACATGTTCAGATGTGCTATTTTATTTTATTTTGTTGGGCAATCTCGTAACTTTTTGTCCATGGTCGAGACCGACCGAAAGTGATTTTCTGATTTCGGCCGAAGCCGAAAATGAGCCGAAAGTTAAAAATGATTTTCGGCCGAAACCGAAGCCCAAGCCGAAACTGAAAATGAAATATTTAGATATTTTGAAATTCGTTCCCGCATACATTCTGCATACATCGAAAAAGAAGGGGGAAAGTATATATATTTACATTCTTTTTATAAAAAATGAGATAATCGTGAATATTAATAAATAAACATCTAATCTAACATCTTGATTTTAAAGATCGTTGAGTTTGTTCTTAAAGATCGCTTAGTTTGTTGTTAAAGATCGTTCAGTTTTTTGTTTAAGATCGCTTTTTTGTTCTTAAAGATCGTTTATTTTGTTCATAAAGATCGCTAGTTTCTTGTTAAAAATCGTTTATTTTTGTTTTTAGCTTAGTTTGTTCTTAAAGATCGCTTAGTTTTTGTATAAAGATCTTTTAGTTTGGTATTAAAGATCATTTACCTTGTTAAAAAAAGATCGCTAATTTTTTTTTCTTAACGATCGCTTAGTTTGTGTTATTAATAGATCGTTTAGTTTGTTCATAAAGATCGCTAAGTTTGTTCTTAAAGATCATTGATTTTGTTCTTAAATATCACTTAGTTGTTCTTAAAGATCATTCAGTTTGTTCTTAACGAACATTTAGTTTGTTTGTATAGATCTTTTAGTTTGTTATTAAAAATCGTTAAGATCGCTTATTTTGTTGTCAAAGATCACATAGTTTTTTCATAACGATCGCTTAGTTTGTTCTTAAAGATCTGTTAGTTTGTTCCTAAAAAACACTTAGTTTTCAGTTTTTGATCGCTTAGTTTATTCTTATAAATCATTTAGTTTACTATTAAAGATCATTTGTTTTGTTCTTAAAGATCATTTAGATCGTTCTTAAAAATCGCTTAGTTTGTTCTTTAAGATCGTTTAGTTTTTTTTAAATTAAAGATCGCTTTTTTGTTTTAAAATATCACTTTATTCGTTTTAAACATCGTTTAGTTTGTTCTTAAAGACCGCTTAATTTGTTCTTAAAGCTCGTTTAGTTTGTTCTTAAATGTTGCTAATTTTGTTGTTAAATATCGCTTTTGCTGAGAATTAGATGATCGAAAACCTCAGTCACTTTCGGCCAGATGGTTGAAAGTCTAAGTCAATTTCGGCCAAAACCGAAAAAAACCGAAAGTTAACTTTTCTCTTTCGGCCAAAACCGAAATTAAGCCGAAAGTTAACTTTCAGTTTCGGTCGAAACCGAAACTTGGCCGAGAGTTATAAAATGACCACTTTCGGTGCCGAACCCGAAGCCAAAACCGAAGCCGAAGCCGAAATTCGGTCGGTCTCTAGTCCATGGGGTCAGCTCGATATAGTTTGACAAGCAAAGTTATTACACGTTTTATACTTTATGCTTACCGTTAATAAAATAATTTTAAAATGATTTAAATAACAATGATGCAATGCAAAAGTCTGGAATTAAACAATAACCCTTAATAAATAGGGAAAAATACATATCGATTTTGTAATAAAATAAATGACCAGTTATCTTATTATCGAGTTGAATTATTACGACCCTTTAAATTGATTAAATATTGAAATTTTTGGATGGACATTTTGAGATGGTAATTTTGAGATTAACATTTTGAGATGAGCATTTTGAGATGGACATTTTAAGATGGACATTATGAGATGGGCATTTTGAGATGGAAATTATGAGATGGACATTTTGAGATGGACATTTTGAGATGCACATTATGAGATGGACATTTTGATCTGTACATTTTGATCTGGACATTTTGAGAAGAGCATTTTTAGATGGACATTTTGAGATGGACATTATAAGACGGACATTTTGAAATTACCATTTTGAGATGAGCATTTTGAGATGGCCATTATGAGATGGACATTTTGAGATGGACATTTTGAGATGGACATTTTCACATGGACATTTTGACATGGACATTTTGAGAAGAGCATTTTTAGATGGACATTTTGAGATGGACATTATAAGACGGACATTTTGAAATTAACATTTTGAGAAGAGTATTTTGAGATGGACATTATGAGATGGACATTATAAGATGGACATTTTGAGATTAACATTTTGAGATGAGCATTTTGAGATGACATTTTGAGATGGACATTTTGAGATGGTTATTTTGAAATCAACATTTTGAGATGAGCATTTTGAGATTTACATTTTGAGATGGACATTTTGAGATGGGCATTATGCTATGGACATTTTTAGATGGTAGTTTTTGAGATGGACATTATAAGATGGACTTTTTGATCTGGACATTTTGAGATGGACATTATGAGATGAACATTTTGATCTGGACATTTTGAAATGAACATTTTGATTACCGAATGGAAGACATCAAAGCAATGTTTTATGCCCAGATCAAGAAGTTTACTACCTCATCAAGTGTGAGAAGAAGCTGACGAGGTCAGGGTGCACAGTCAAGTCCAGTAATCCGGAGTGGAAGGAACGAGTTACGCTGTACAGAGAACATCCTGATGATGATATTGTTATAGAGGTAAACTAACATCAGGGGAAAAGACTCGAAGACTCGTCTTATTGACACCAATAAATCTTTTACATCTTTGAATATTTATTTTTATAACGATATTTATATTATTTTTACCGACATTTGTATTATTTACATTGATATGTGGAATCGAGAACCCCCCAAGAAGTAACGAATTGAACTGAAGTATTGGGTTGAGTTGAAGTGAAGTATTGGGATGAATTGAAATACTGGGTTCAGTTGAGCTAAAGTAATAGGATGAGTTGAACTGAAGCATTGGGTTGAGTTGAACTGAAGCATTGGCTAGAGTTGAACTGAAGTATTGGGATGAGTTTAACTGAAGCTTTGGGTTGAGTTGAACTGAAGTTTTGGGATGCGTTGAACTGCAGCATTGGGTTGAGTTGAACTGAAGGTTAACGTTTAGTTTAACTGAAGCATTCGGTTTAGTTGAACTGATGTTTTGGGGAAGTCTGGGGTACGCTTCCCTTGCATCAGCACATGCATTTTAGGAAACACAAACACTATTTTTTAAATTATTTTTCAAATTCGATTTATTGAACTATTTTCTTAGTTACTATTGATTGTAATCCGATTTAAGGCATGGGTAAAACATCGCCTGAAGGACGACCTGATTGGAAGGACAACGTTAACACCGTCCACCGTCCAAGAATATTCGCAGGGAGAGAAAATCTGGAGGTAATAACGGGACTCATCTTCTAGTACTCATTTACTCTTCAGTTTTATTCTATACGTATAATATTCATCATAATTATTTTTTGTGTGTATAAATGTTTCTTACTAAAGAATAAACTAATGCTATCTGTACATGAGTGCTCGTTTAACTCAGTGAATATTACAGTCATGGGCGTTGGAAGAGGTGGGGGGGGGGGACAAAGGGGGCGGTCCGAAACGGGGGGGGGGGGCGCTTATTTTAGGATACACTTTTTGATCATGGCATATACTTTAGATACTTTATGCTTTATGTGTATTCTGATATTGATACAACTTATTCTGTGGGGGGGGGGGGGGGGGGAAGGGGGGCGGTCGGAAGGGGGGGTGGGGGGCGCTTATTTTAGGATACACTTTTTGATCATGTCATATACTTTAGATACTTTATGCTTTATGTGTATTCTGATATTGATACAACTTATTCTGATTGTTTTGTGTTTTTCGTTAAATGGAGGGCGGTGAAATCAAGGACTGCCCAGGGGCGTCGACAACTCTAGTTAAGCGACTGCTCACAGTCTGGTCAAAGTGTAAAAGCGAATTAACGAGTGATGTCCATATGTGGAACCGTCATCTTGGCGATTCGTGCTTTAGTTTTACAATTGTCGTCAACAGCATAAAATAATTCTTTTGTTTTACCACCTGTAGGAGAGAGCTGAATCTGACCAACAAATCTGGCCAAGAGGAACGCCGGGGATACATTTGGGTCAAGGTCAAGCACACAACCAACTTCATGGACGTTTAGACACAAGTGTTCATGTCCAGTTACACACACACTTTTTGGACATTCAGACACAAGTGAAGATGCCAAGTTACACAACAAACTTCATGGACATTGAGACACAAGTGTTAATGTCCAGTTGCACAACAAACTTCTTGGACATTAGGACACACGTGAAGATATCGAATTTTAAAAATGAGCACAAAACAATGATGTATATCATGGCATTTATATATTTTCAAGACACGCCTATTGCTGCGTCATTCTTAACATATTTCTTCAATGAGTTGATAAAGAGCTCTACGCGTATGGGGTGAAAGGTCAAGATTTCAAATAGAGATGCACGACGATGAGACAATCTAAAGAATGTTTGTATTAAATGTATTAAGAAACGTTTAGAGATCTCCACCATTGTGCGGAGATGTGGTGAGACATGTACATAAATTTCCAACATCCTGTGTGGAAAATTGAAAAGACAAAAAAATTGTTAGTTGATCCATAGAAAAGACTTTCAGTTCAAATAAATCTATTTCAGACAATCCAATTTTCTCCCAGCCGATTTTCCTCGCATTGACACTGCGCCCATTGAGTACATCACACCGTCTCTTATTCTTCACATAGCTAGACATATTGACAATCCATTTTTGTGACATTAACAGACCACGACATTCCATCGCATGCAACGAACAGAATACGAGCAGAAAGGGACAATCAATTTTGTTGAAATAACTTTGTGATAACTGCTGTTTTTCACCTGCTCACTTGGGTCATATTGTACTTTAGCTGGCTGGCATACACAAAAGGTTAATATGTTGATTCACGATTTGTAAATATTTAATGATACAATGTCCAGGCCATATGTCAAAGCTATGTAAAACTATCTTTGATGTTAAATTAATATTTTTTTTTATTCATACTCTGGAGTACTTTGATAAGTCGCATTTTACCCTTGCAATTGGAGTTGTGACGTAGTGACTATGTGTGAAGGTTTTATGCAACGATCACATAACACAACCGTTCTAACATATTATATGTATAGCTTGGATTCATGTTATATAAATGAACGACATACAGAAACAATATTTAAAAATGTCTTTACAGTTGACGGGCTCAAGGGAAAAACCGATGATGTCAGGTTTTGAGAGTTTTGAGAAAATTGAATTTAAAGTTTGAAAATTCTTCATAAAAGTATGAAAATATCAAGATGTCTACGTATTTATGTATTGACTACGCTGCTTTTTCAGTTGGACCTATGTATCATATTATTCTATTAAATGGCATTTAGCCACAAGGGAGATAACATAGAAATGTTGAAAAACTGACATCACTGGTTTTTCCCTTGAACCCTTCAGTTGTATTTACGCAAATGTGATCTCCGTAATCTTGATTGACTTTTTTTACAATAATTTACTTTAAGTGTACTTGCGTCTTATTAGTATTTTTTGAAAATAATCAGTTCATATTCATTGACGTGTCTCTACGATTATAATAAAATGTATCACTTACCAAAAGTGACACTCTCCGAGAAACATTCGATCAAGTTGTATCAATATCTTCTTGCTCTTTTCGTTAATTTGTTTACATTTTTTGGGCCAATGTTTTATAAGGTGGTGTTACGGACACTCATATAATATATTTACAAATGTTCTCTGTTTTAAGATATGGGTCGTTAGATGAACCGTGCGTAACAAAGGACTGAACCTCAGTAAAGAAATGTAGAAAAAAAAACGATACACGAAGCTAATGTTGATCCCAAAAAATCAATTAAATAATCAAATTCTAAATTACAAAATCAAATATACATAAATAAAAAAAACTAAATTAAATTTTAACACTCGGCTTACTGCATTTTCATCATGTGGGCGCTTTAAAAAAGTGCTCTTAAAAAGTATCTTCTTTGAAATATTTTAAATTTAAAAAAATATATATATATTTTTATTTTTTATTTTATCGGGTCAAAGGTTATTGGTTGCCTAAGGGAAAACAACAACAAAAGATGTTATTTTTTTAACCTTATTTTTTTCCTTTCCTTTCAAGCCTCAAAAGATATAGATGAATAAGAAGGGGGTTCAGGTGCATATTTCGTGTTATTTGAACGGTCCAAACCTTCACAAATGTGGGTCCGGTTAAATTGCATTGGGTCCTGTTTCAAAGTGCGTGGTCTTAAGCAAGGGTTCTCAAACTGAAACTTCCCGAAGAGCCTTATCATCTTCAGCCTCTTCATTATCATTCGATGCGTCCATTCTGAGTGGTTGTATGCCAGTAAGGATAACCTCTTTGCCGGCCGCGAGAGTTTGGTTGACTGGATGCTTCAAGGAATCTGTCAAGTAAATGTTATTTGTATGGTATGTGTCTGGTCTCATAGCGTTGATGTGTTAAGGAATCTGTCAAGTAAATGTTATTTGTATGGTATGTGTCTGGTCTCATAGCGTTGATGTGTTAAGGAATCTGTCAAGTATATGTTATTTGTATGGCATGTGTCTGGTCTCATAGCGTTGATGTGTTAAGGAATCTGTTAAGTAAATGTTATTTGTATGGCATGTGTCTGGTCTCATAGCGTTGATGTGTTAAGGAATCTGTCAAGTAAATGTTATTTGTATGGTATGTGTCTGGTCTCATAGCGTTGATGTGTTAAGGAATCTGTCAAGTAAATGTTATTTGTATGGTATGTGTCTGGTCTCATAGCGTTGATGTGTTAAGGAATCTGTCAAGTAAATGTTATTTGTATGGTATGTGTCTGGTCTCATAGCGTTGATGTGTTAAGGAATCTGTTAAGTATATGTTATTTGTATGGCATGTGTCTGGTCTCATAGCGTTGATGTGTTAAGGAATCTGTCAAGTAAATGTTATTTGTATGGTATGTGTCTGGTCTCACAGCGTTGATGTGTTAAGGAATCTGTCAAGTATATGTTATTTGTATGGTATGTGTCTGGTCTCATAGCGTTGATGTGTTAAGGAATCTGTCAAGTAAATGTTATTTGTATGGCATGTGTCTGGTCTCACAGAGTTGATGTGTTAAGGAATCTGTCAAGTATATGTTATTTGTATGGTATGTGTCTGGTCTCATAGCCTTGATGTGTCAGGGAATCTGTCAAGCATATGTTATTTGTATGGTAATTGTCTGGTCTCATAGCGTTGATGTGTTAAGGAATATGTCAAGTATATGTTATTTGTATGGTATGTGTCTGGTCCCATAGCGTTGATGTGTTAAGGAATCTGTCAAGTATATGTTATTTGTATGTTATTTGTCTGGTCTCACAGCGTTGATGTGCCAGGGAATCTGTCAATTATATGTTATTTGTATGGTATGTGTCTGGTCTCATAGCATTGATATGTCAAGGAATCTGTCAAGTATATGTTGTTTGTATGGTATGTGTCGCCTCTAATAGCGTTGATATGCCAAGGAATCTGTCAACCAAATTTTATTTGTATGGTATTTGTCTGGTCTCATAGCGTTGATGTGTCAGGGAATCTGTCAAGTATTTTTTATTTGTATGGTATGTGTCTCCTAGCGTACCGTTGATGTGCAAGTTATTGTACTCAGCACAGTGTCTCGTCTTCAATTAAAAAATAATAATGTATTTTGAAATTCGGAATCTCAAAATGGTTAATATCAAAGTATATGAAATCTTCACACACAAACACACACATACATGTTTTTGTTCGCTTGTCGAAGTCGACTAGGACCATCGGGTCATCCAAAGGTTAGGGGGAGGGTGGGTTACGGTGAGCTCGTAGGTGGCTTGCTAGACCGATCCGTGCTCGGAATAATCTTTAGCACCGCGGGCAGGGGATAGTTGCTTCAGACGGTGACCTAATGTTGCTCTTTCGAACAAGCCTGCGTGTCTCAGCTGTGGATATCCTATTAGCTTCGTGGGAATTAGACCCATATTTGACATAAGCTTTCAACCTGGCTCTGTCCTGGGATGTTTGTATCCATTGAGTAGGGTTTATGCTAAAGGCCTTTAGGGCCATTTTCAGTGAGTCTTTGTAACGCTTTTTTTTCACCTCCTTTGGAGCGCTGGCATATTGTGAGTTCTCCGAAGTATATCTGGTTTGGTAGCCGGTGGTCTTCCATACGGGCTACGTGTCCCATCCAACGGAGCTGAGACTGCATCAGAGTGGTGAAGATACTAGGTAGGTTCGCTCTAGCAAGGACCTTGGTGTCGGGAGCTTTGTCTTGCCACCTGATGCCGAGGAGTTTCCTGAGGCAGGTTGTGTGAAAATGATTCAGTTTCTTGGCGTGACGCTGGTAGACTGTCCACGTTTCACATCCGTAGAGCAGTGTCGGGAGAACTGCTGCGCTATAGACCTTGATCTTCGTTTCTCGTCTGATACCTCTCCTGACCCAAACAGTGCTGCGGAGCCAGCCAAATAGGGCACTAGCTTTTGCGAGTTTGCCATTCGTTTCATCATCCATGACGACAGATCTAGAGAGGGTGCTGCCTAAGTAAGTAAATATATCCACCGGGTTGAGAAGCTGTCCACTGATGATGATGTTGGGTTCAACGTAGTGCTTACTGGGAGCTGGCTGATACATCACCTCAGTCTTCTTTGTGTTGATTGTGAGGCCAAAGCAATTGCAGGGCTCAGAGAAGATATCAACGCTGTGATGCAAGACGAATTCTGAGGAGCGTTGAGGACACAATCGTCTGCAAACAGAAGCTCGTTGATGGTCTTATGTTTGACCTTGGTTTTAGCTTGAAGCCACCTAAGGTTAAATACTGATCCATCAGTGCGAAACCGGATTGGCCATCCCTTGGTGGAGTCCTTGAACGCATCAGAGAGCATACACACACATACATACAAACACACATACATACATACATACATACATACACAAATACATACATACATATATGCATACATACATAAATACATACATACATACATACATACATGCATACATGCATGCATGCATGCATACATACATGCATACATACATACATACATACATACATGCATGCATGCATGCATACATACATACATACATACATACATACATACATACATACATACATACACACATACATACATACATGCATGCATACATACATACATACATACATACATACATACATACATGCATACATACATACATACATACATACATACATACATACATACATACATACATACATACATACATACATACATACATACATACATACATACATACATACATACATACATACATACATACATACATACATACATACATACATACATACATACATACATACATTTATACATACAAACATACATACATACATACATACACATGCAAAGATACACACACATACACACATACATACATTACGCACACATGGATAAACACATACAAACCTACACACATGCATACATACGCATACATAGACACACATATACAGACACATACAGACACACACAAATATATACATATACACACACAAACATAGCCACACAAACATACCCACACAGACATATATACACAAAAACCGTCACGTACAAACACACACATACACATACACACAGTGACACACTCACATAGAGACACACACGCATACTTATACAGACACACACACATACTTATACAGACACACACACATACATACATATTCACACATATTTAGAGATAACGGAATACTGCATTGTAATTGCTACAACGAATTGTCGTCTCATTTGCATACACCACCAGGGGAGGAAGTAGAAAAATAACCCCACAAAATAATGACAACTGCTGCAATGTTTCCATGAAATGACTTGTCTTTGCTTTTAAAGTTGTCCCCTTTGACTGAGTCTGTCATCACCTCGCTCTGATGCTTCATTCACTGCAACAGAACCTGGATTTTCCCTAACGGATTAGATGGATATTGCAGTTAAGGTGGATGTCCAATAATATCGTAAGTGCCCTTACAAACATAGATAGGGATTCTCAAATTGGTAAGCCATTAAACACCCATCAACACTACAAGGGTATGGGGATAGGTAATGTGAATGGGGGGGGGGGGGTGAAGAGAGAGAGAGAGAGGAAGAAAGCGAGAGAGAGAGAGAGAGAGAAGTAAGACTTGTCGAAAGAGGAGAGGAGATTTGCCAGAAAGTGGTAGGTTAAGTGGATATATGGAAGAAATATCAATAAAAAAAAATTGAAACACATATGATGTCTGTATAGATGAGAGACAGAAAACATATGTCAAACATAGAATGGAAGAGGTAATAGAGTGAAAATTATATGTAAGAAGGTGAAGGGAATGTAAGTGTAAGGCATAGACTGTAGTGATGACCCGAAAGTTGATATTGGGATGTGGGGAGGGGGTGGATGGCGTTCTCACTGGTTACAGGTCGTAGATAGAGAAAGAAAGAAAGAGAGTTGGTGTGATGACAAGAAGAAGATAAGAAGAGTGAGAGTGGGGTAGCTAGAGAGAGAGAGAAAAAAGAGATAAACAGAGAGGCAAGAGGTACAGAATGGTTGCGAGAAAAGATGGAGAGAGAAAGAGAGAGAGAGGGAGAAAAAAAGAGATGGAGAGATAGAAAGAGCACGAGAGAAAGAGAAG